TAAACCATACTGGAAAAGGACATGAAAAAGAATGCATATTAATGTATTTATAACTGAATCGCACTGCTGTATGCCGGAAACACAACACTAGTCATCAACTACCTTCAATTTTTTAAAAAAGGAAAAAAGTCAGGACACTTGAAAAAAATAAAGTTTGAAAAACTTTTAAAACCTAAACAGAATGAAAATAAAAAATAAACTTTTTTAAAAGGGTGACAAAATATTATGTAAATGACAGTTCAGTTTCTTAAAAAAAAGGAAAAAAAGGAGAAGAGGTGCTGTGACACCTTCATCAGCTCCGTCGTGTCAGAAGAGGGTCTCTGTGTCCCATGGAGCAGCAGACCTCAGACACTACCAGGCTGTTCTTTTGTTTAGTCGCTGAGTCGGGCCCGACTCTTTGTGACCCCGTGGACTATCGCCCGCCAGGCTCCTCTGTCCAGGGGATTCTCCAGGCAAGAATACTGGCGTGGGTTGCCATTTCCTTCTTCAGGGGATCTTCCCGATTCAGGGATTGAACCTGCATCTCTTATGTCTCCTGCACTGGCAGGCAGGTTCTTTACCACTAAGCCACCTGGAAGTTTAAAAAAAAAAAGCAAAAACTATGACTAAACCTGGGACAGGACGGAGGTAGAGGAGACTGGGGGAAGTCTCTTGAAGGGTCAGAAGCCGCCCCCCTCCCCCGCTCCTCTCAGTGGGAGGCAGAATATAGTAACCTGTGAGAACCCAGGAGACGGAACCGTCCAGCGTCAGGCAGGTGAGGATTCTGCAAACAGCGGTCCTGCCGGCACAGACACAGCAGGGTGCTCTCCCGTTTGTTAAGCAGCGCTCATTTCTTCATCCACTGAAGTGTCACGGGTTTATTTCCCTCACAATGTTTACACAGCCTTAAGACACTCAACGATATTTCTATGCTAAATAATAAACATATTTACTACTGATGTCCTGAACCTCAGAAACGTAGAGAGATCATCTAAAAATAGTACAGAGTTTCAAGGAAACCTGTCCAGAAAGTCCAGTCCAGAACCCACAGCTTGGACAATCACCATGGAACCCCAGGACTTCTTCACAGGCCCTGCTGGTCTCCAATTGCCCCCAGACAAGAAGCCTGCTACAACTAGAAGAAACCTGAGAACCTCCGTAACATTAAAAAAAGAAGAAAATGTTCAAGATGCACAAGCATGTGAAAATCACTAGTCTTATGATTACTACATTGATCACAAAAACCATTAGCTGGAAACCCGTAGCCCACCTTCCACTACCAGGTGAGGTTGCGTGCCTCCTGTCTTTAAGGGGGCAGTGGCTCACACCATAAAGAATCCGCCTGCGATGCAGGAGACCTGGGTTCGATCCCTGGGTTGGGCAGATCCCCTGGAGAAGGAAATGGCTGCCCACTCCAGTGTTCTTGCCTGGAGAATTCCATGGACAGAGGAGCCTGCTGGGCTACAGCTCACGGGGTTGCAAGAGAGTCGGACACGACTGAGCGACTAACACTTGTGAGACAGAGCTGATCAGAGACGAGGGCTTTTATGGGAATTATGTGGAAGCGGACAGGCAAATCTGAAATCTAGCTTTACTGAACTGCTGATTCTACTCTAACTTGCTCTCTGGCAAATGAGTTAAGTATGAGTTCTACGGAACAGATCTAAGGAAAGAGAACACCGCTCTTTCCCCCACTGCTGCCCCCTCCGTGGGAGCATGAACAACGCTTTGAGGGGTCTCTGCCCCGCTGAAAACATGTCAGCCTCGTGCATACGCTCTGGTGACACGGCTTTTCACCTAACGTGATTAAAAGGGAGAAACCGAGACGCCTGCTCGACTTCTCGCAAACAGAAGGAACACTTCAGGGTGGGTCTGGCAGGGAGACTCAGGGAACCAGTCACTGTTTCTCGAATACTTTTGTAGAGTGTCACTTTTTTTTTTCCCACCCTGCCCTTTCATTTATTGAATTTTCATACAATGAGTGTGCTATGATCATCACCGGATATACTAACAACAACAGAAAAGGCTACAGCTGGATCCTGTATTAGTCTCAGCTGCAGCTCAAGTCTACATTTAAAACCAATAGGAAGGCGCAGAGGGAAGGAGAGAGGAAGAAAAAGCCTTGTTCCTGAGAGCTGGAAGGTCTGCTCTGCCTCCAAGGTTCTGGCAGCAAAGACATCTCTTCTGTGTTATGTAAATAGTTTGTCTTACTAAGTTTTCCAATTCTAAAGCTCGTTTCTTTGTGAAACCAGGGCCAAATATTAAAACAAAATCCTCAGTATGTTAAGCCAGATAACTAATCACCTCCATATGGGGGTGGGCTAACCAACCACTGTGTGCGCTGGTTCCAAGTGCGCCCACGCGCACACTCCACTGACATCTGAGCCCGTTAGTAACTCCTTTTGGTTACCAATCTGATCCACATTTACCAAAGAACAAGAAAAATGAAGGTGACTTTGACCTTGAATCCAGTAGATGACTTTAACATATAGTTCTTTAAATGGCATTAAAGAAACCAAAGCATTCCTCTCTTCTGTTTATATATATGTCATCTAGACTACAGGATACAAATAATGGTATTAGACAACCAGCCTGAACTCTCTTAAAAAGTCATTGTAGGAGAAAAAAAAAAAAAAAGGTTTTTTTTCTTTTTTTTTTTTTAAAGACAGAGGAGACAGAACTAAATACAAAGTGTAAACCCTGATGGGAATCTAGATAGGTAAGAAAAATAGTTATAAAAGGCATTGTGGGAACAAACTGGGGAAAGCAGAAATTGAATGACAGGTGAAAGTACAGTATGGGCGTACTGCTGGTTCCCTTAAGAACGGCCATGGTTGTGGTTAAGTAGGAGACCGTCCTCGGGAGATGAATGCTGCTTAGTATTCAGGGATAAAGTGTTATGTCATACACAACTTACTTTCAAATGGATTAGCCAAAAAAAAGTAGTGTTAACAGTGTTAAGAGATAAGGCAAATGCGGCAAAATGCTAGCAATGAGGTCAACAATACATGGACACTGACACTATTTCAACTTTTCTGTAGACTCCAAGATTTTCAAAATACCAACTTGAGAGAGAAAAGAAACAATAATTAATCTGCCAATCACCGATTATTCCTAAACCCAAACCCACAGGACCCTCCCCTTGCTCTTCTGTGAATGTAAATGGGGGCAAGGGGCTGGCCTCTCTGATGACTAATGGCTTTAAATGCCTACTGATTGGGATTTTTGATAAGTTTTCCAGGACATATTTTCACACGGGCTTTTTCATGTCCATTTTACATATGAGAAGACTGAGCCTTAAGGAGATTACGTCATCGACACAAAGCCTCAAGGCTGGAGGTACCCACGGCTGCAGATATTTGCTTAAAAATATGTCAACAGCAAATAACCGGTTCAAATGTTTAAACAAACCTCCCTACTAGACTCAAGATTCTCAGGACAAACCACTGACGCCACGGTTGACTATCTTCTGCCTTAAACTGGAGAAACTGTCAGGAACATCCTTCAGTGGCTGACCTGATGGGGCAAACGGGCAAACCCTGAACTCTTACTGCCCAGATTTCACAAGGGAGAAGGGGGCTCTCCAATCCCCTGGGACTGAGGTTATCAGTGCAGGAGACGGTGCGTGGCTCATCCCAACACAGCCAGCCAGGAGGAAGCGAGGCCAAGGACAAGGAAGGCCAGCCGCCACAGCGCTCAGTCACCGCACAGCCCCCCGATTCCAATAAACGGATAAAAACAGTGGTCTCTGGGTGGATGATGGATGAGGGGTGAGGGGGTGAAGGGGCATTAGGGAACAAGAGCTTCAATAAAACACGCAGAAACAGCCTCAAAATGAAGGGCTTATATTAAAAGACTCCCCTCCCCAGCACCTGGGGAAGGTGATCAGGTTAGCTTTTGCCACCGGAGCTTGGCCTTTCATCTCTAACTAGTGAACGCTGGACGGGCCCTGGCTGTCAACTCACAGCTCTTTTAATTAAGGAAATGGTTCTCCTGTCACATCTGTTCCTGAAATTCCCAGTCACCAATCTGTTTGATTGCTAGAACCAAGATAAAACTGCCCAGGCCAAGCTCATGGGATTAGAGAAGCTTCTAGGCGTTCCCTCTCCGAAGGGAGACAGCTGGGGCCAGCGACCACCCACCGGGGGACAGTGGGCCGGGGCGCAACCCTGACTCGGGGCTCCTGGGCAGGCCTGCCGCAGGTCTCCGGGGGCTGGAAGGACTAGGTGAAGCGGATTTTCCTCTCAAGGGTGCAATGCTTTTTACCCTACCCCCCAAATTTTCACAAACCATTAGAGAAGAGAATGGTAACCCACTCCAGTATTCTTGCCTGGAGAACTCCATGGACAGAGGAGCCTGAGAGTTGGACACAACTGAGCAACTAATAGGCACGCACACATTTTCACCAACAGAAAAGGGAGATAAAATTTCGAATGGAGGAGTAGCCAGACACTTCTGAAAGCCTTTCTCAGCTTTACACGCAAGCAAGTCTGCTCTGTGCAGAAAACGAGACACAGGCCTCAGACGCCCCTCCGGGGGAGGGGGCGGGAGGGAGGCCCCCGAAGGCCCCAGAGACTGAAACCCTAAAGCCAGAAGTCCCAGCACTGACAGCGGCACAGCCCCCGGGGAAGCATCTTGGCTTATGTTCTTTCCAGATTAAAAAAAAATAATAATCATGTTCTGCACGTCCGGCCAAATAACCGGGCATCTGCGAGGCAGAACCACCACAGGGGCTGCCAGACGGGCGTGGGACCTGCACGCGCTCCCGCCGGCCGCCCTGCCGGCAGGAACGTTCTCGCGAGCAAGATTCCGAGCCCCTCCGGACCGAGCCTGACCCAAGGAAGGAAGGAAGAAGGCATGTGACTTTTTGTCAAAAACATCATGGTAACCGTCTGACTGGCACAGAGCTTAACTGCGATTTTCAACGAAAAGGCTAAAGCTCTGGAAACATGCATCTTGGGGGAACCCACGGCAGACACTGTGATTCCTGGGGAAATGCAACATTTCGGAAGAACACTCACCCGACATTAATATTCCTGTTGCATGGGCGATGAAAGGCATCATTTTATTCTCAAGACGGTCCTCGCCCTCTGAGTGCATCATACACTGCATCAAAGTCTGTGGCCACTTGTCCTCCCACAATCGGGAAATACGGCCTCATCGTGTGAACAGGCCAAACACTGAAAAGTCACTGAAATCCTCCCGTTTTCCCATACTCTAACACACACAGAAATGAACTCATCTGCCTGTCTCAATTCAAAAAAATTTTAATCTAATTACTGCAACTTGGAAAAGGACATTCTTCATTGCTTTATTTCCTCTCCGAAGAGCTCAAAGGAAGTCCTGTCTTCTAACAGAATATTAAATGGCCGATGCCTGCCGCTTCTGACTGCCGCGTTTTTTTTTTTAAATCCTTCTGTGTTAAAATAAATGTAGTCATAAGGATGTGCCAAATGAAACTGTTAATGAATTTACGAGCATGTGAAAATACATTTTGTTTTATTCAATGTAGGAGAAAGTGTTCATCTCAGAAAGAAAGTATAACCTAGCCTAGTTCTTAAAGGGATAAATATATACACCCAGTGAACACGCGTGGGAGAGAGATGAGGTTTCTTCCAGGCCCGCAGTGGCCAAGACGAGATCCTTACTCAGATAAATAAGAATGAAACCCGCCTGCTGCTCCAGCCAGCAGCAGGCGACCCCACCGCCCCTGGCTCCAGCCACCTCTCCGTAGCCCCAAAACAAGACAGGTATTTATGGCCCCACGAGACAGGACACGTGGAGATGGGAGGGGAGAGGGCCCTCCTGGGTAGACGGGACCCAGCAACTCCACCCAGCAGACCATCCTCAGCGTGGGGGCCTGGAACTGGACAGGTTTGAGGGGTACCATGAACACAGGGTGGCCGCCACCCGGGCTCGACAAAGGCCACGGTAAGAGGAGGAACTGTTTCTTCCTTGAGTATTCCTCCAAGAAGGAAAACACTCTCCCAAGAAGTCCTCCTGCAAACTGCCTCTCGCAGCTCATGCTGAACTTGACTTCTGTATCCTTCCTTCAATCAATAAGGAAAATGGGATTATCTTTACTGGTTTAGATGGCTTAAGCAAATCAGGGTTGTTAAGCAAGGAAGAAAGGGAGGATTTATTTGGGATATGGAGCAAAATGGGCTGATACAGACTCCAACTCAGCCCTACAGACGGCCAGCCTGCATGCGGTGGGCAGCAGAGAAATGACCTGGTTGACCTGCCCTTCTCCTGCTGCCCTAAAATGTCTAGGTCCTGTTTTCCGGTTTAAAATCAAGGGTTGTTATTTAAAAGTTACATGTTATAGAAAGCAAAAATTTTTTAAATACTTTCAGAAGTCTATGCAGCCACCCTAGCACTAAATCAACTAGAGAAATAGCTAAACAGTGACTGCTTTAATGAAGCCTCATATTATCAAATTGTGGTTTTAAAGAACTTCCAGAATGTAAAATAAATGCAACCCAGATGTTCTCTTAAAAAAAAAAAAAAATGAAAACAAGATTGTTTTTACTTCATAGCAACCAAATAGGTCAACCCATTTCCTCCTTCAGAGAATTCTCAGAGGACCACAAACTCCACTTGAAGAGCATGTGTTTCATATGCATCTGTCCAGAGAAAAAGGAAACTTTGCCGTCCAAGATAAACGGAGGATATTATATGTTCCCATGAAAGTGAATTTGAAATCTGCAGTTAAGACTGTGTCTACATGTTGCCAAACATCTGGATGAAAACCAGGGGAAAAAAATCACTATTACCCAGATATTGAGAAATACTTTCCAATTATCATTAAAATGCCCAGTTTTATAGCAAACTGCCATGTTTTACAGAAAACTGCCCTTTTTATTAATTACAGGAATAAGTTGCTCAAAAGAAAAGTACAATAATCTTTAAAAATTGCCCTGCTATGAGTTTAAGATAGGAACTTATTTCTCCCTATTTGAACAGTGATCCTGGCGACATTAAGTCAGCGAAAAGGGTAAATTTGCTCTATCAAAGTAAATCACAAAATATTCTTAGCCAACTGAATTGACTCAGGTGAGTCTTTTCTAATATTTACAGAAAACTGAAAGATATTTACCCAAAATAAACACTTGCTGAATTGTTTCCAGTCACATTACAAAATATGACAGGGTCTCACGTCAGTTCTATCATGTCACCTGGGAGACTGACATGAGCTGCAAAAAGTCGACAAGCTTGAGTAACTTCAAAATCAGGATGAACGGACTTCCCTGGAGGCCCAGTGGTTAGGACTCCACGCTTCCACCTCAAGGGGTGCGAGTTCAATCCCCGGTCAGGGAACTAGGATCCCACGGGCCACATAGCCAAGAAAGACAAAAAAAAAAAAATCAGGCTGGAGAATCATGTATTTTTCTACTCTCATTTAAATGATTTACTGTTTCCCCACAAGTCTGAAATATTTAATATGCTTCATGCAGCTTTTGGGATACTATGGTAAAACCTATTTTTTCATTTCATTTCACTTCAGAAGTTTTAACAATCCTCTATTACAAACTGATGGACCTGCTTCCTGAAGGATGTGCCAATAACTTTAAGACAATTTCTCTCTCCCAAAGTTATTTATAGTAAGAGTGGGAGTGTGCAAACAGCGCTGTTACTCTAACTCGCCTGATGGATCACTTCTGGTCCTCCACCAGCAGGATTTACTTCAGAAATGCTTACCTTTCTCATCCTAAGCTCCCCGCCCCTAGCTCTCCCGATTCTCTGGTCTAAAGTCATCAAACCCTGTGGACACGAGCCCACTCTCAGCTCAGTCCGCCACTCATCCAGACCTGGGCTCCCCTGGAGGCTCAGACGGTAAAGCGTCTGCCAGCGATGCGGGAGAACGGAGCTCGATCCTGGGTCGGGAAGATCCCTTGGAGAAGGAAACGGCAACCCAGTCCAGTACTCTTGCCTGGAAAACTCCATGGACAGAGAAGCCTGGTATATGATAGCCCGTGGGGTCGCAGAGAGTCGGACAAACGACTGGGCAACTTCACTGCACTCCATTCAGCACAGCTGACCACTCACTTCCTCTTCTCAAGTGCTCCTCCTGCAGTTCCACAGTCTTCCAGATTTTCTTGACTTCGCTGGCTACTCTTTCTTGGTCTCCTTTATTGAGTTGTCTGTAGTCCTGGGATTTTCCTCCTCTCTAAACTCTCTCCAAGTGATCTCACTCATCCATTCCCATGAATTAAAATGAGTTTAAATCTTCCTAGCAGACTACACAGCTAAGCATCTTCCACCACCTCCACCAGGTCATCTCACAAACAGGTCCAATTTTAAACACCAAAACTGAACTCCTGAGACACTGTTTCCAGTAAAAGCTGACCAGTTTGTTGCAGACAACCCTTCTGCCAAAAAATAACTTAAAAAGTTGAGCACGCTGTAAGAACTAACTGTCTGAAGGTATCAGAGAGCTGCCTAACGCAGTGAGGACCTAGGAGGCCAGGATCCCAGAGAGAAGGTGCAGAGGTGAGCCCAATCGTCTGAGCCAGTTTCCTCCTGGAGACACTTGCCAATTCAGGCAGAGTGTGAAAGGCCAAGAAGCTAGGCAGAGATAAGCAGCTAAGAATCTGAGGTCAGCAGAATCTCCAGCAGTCTGATGGGACTGGGAGACCAAATTAGAGCTCAGGGGCTGCCAAGCAGAAGAGGCGCTGGTAAACAGCCCGAGCTTGCAGCTGGAACCACTGAAGAGCCATAGCCTCGGAGAGGGGTAAGCCACAGGGGAACTGACCCTCACGGTTCTAAGGTGGGATCTCCCTACCCTAACTGCCTGCCAGAAGCCTCTCTCGAGGAAGAGAATCTCAAACTACCCCTACCATTTTTCATCCCCACCATCCAGAATTTAAAGTTTAACAGGCAATGTAGAATCAAGATCACAGGCTGAAAACCAAGGGCGAAACGGACAACAGAATACATTCACAGGATGCCCAAATGTTTATCAGACACCTATAACTGATTAATACAGAAAGTCACTGACAAGATGAAAATTTTTCACAGAAAACCGGTATCTAAAAAAAAAATCAAGAACACTGAAAAGGGCAAGGATTGAAATTAAGAACTTAACAGACAGATTTAAAAACAGATTAGACAGAGACGAAGAGAGGATTAATGCACTCGAACATAGGTCAGGAGAAAATTATGCAGAGTGGAGCAAGGAGAGACCAAAAGGATGAAGAACAGGAAACACGCCGAAGAGATACAAGGACATGATGAAGCGCTAATCAGCGTCCCAGAGGAGAAGAGACAGGACATGCAGCCGAAATAATACACGTGGAGACAGACGCTAAGACTTCTCCAAATCTAATTGAAGAGTAAGTCGTGTCACTGCCCTGCCAAAAGAAGAAGCACCACCGGTTGCAATGCGGACAAATTCAAAGAAAACCACCTCTGGACACTGCGCAGGAACCGGACAGAACTAAGAACCAGAGGCAGGGAGAAAAATCTTAAAAAGCAGCCCGAGGGGAGGGGAAAGACACACCACCGTCAACAGAGCCAGCCTGATACAGCGACTTCCCAACACAAGCGCTGGAAGGCAGAAAGCAGCGACTCGACCCGCAAAGCTTGGCAGGGATTAACCAGCTAGCCCACAGCTGCACATCCGGAGAAACGGTCCTTCACAGTGAGAGCAGAACAGTGACACCTTGGGCCAGAAAAAAGGAACAGATGAGCCCTCCAAACAGTTTCCTCTCAAGACTTGCCCTTCTCTTAAAGCCGCGCACCCCCTTCGGTCACAGGAGCCAGAAACCGAGTGGTCACCTTCGGCTTCTGCAGTTCCTTCTTTAACCTCCAAGCTGTCAGTACGTCTTTCTGATGCTCCAAAATACATCTAGCAGAGCCATGCAGATTGAAACAACACATCCTTTCTTACCCAGGAGACAGCAAGACCTTTAAAAAGTCTCACCAGTGGCAAGAGTTGATTAGAATACTGATAATAACGCCTAGTGAGAAAGGAACCTGCCAACATCTGGGGAAACAGAAAGCATACCTATAACCCACAGCTGCGATTCTAGAGAGAGACTTGCGAGAAACTTTCACACCTTTGTAAATGGAGATGAGCCCCCACTTAGTGCTGTTTGTAATAATGTAAAACC